GGTGGTTGTCGACGGCGACATGGTGAAGATGGTGACCGGAAAATATGGAATTAGAGGCTCAATATATTGTACCAAAAAGCCTTCTAATGGATTACCTAAACACCTACTTCGATCAAACTTGGTTGAACGTTTAATCGAATCTCCCTAACTCTCGAACAAAGATATATCTCGCGCATATGTAGAGAGAAAATTTGGCCAACACATCTATGTAGGAGAGGTTGGGACATGGTGTATTTATAGGCTCCATTAGGGACCTTAAGGAGGTGCTAAATATGGGCTTATTCCATTAGGCCTAGGAATCCTAATTCTAATCCAATACTAACTCAATGTAGGAAGGTGATCTTCTACTAATCTATCTCTTGTAGAAGACTCTTTAGTCTCCTAACAATAGAGAAGATCCTAGTAGGAATACCTTTCCTAATTAAATTAATAATCATGGAATAAAATTAATTCCTAATTTAGGAAACCTAATTTTACTCCAACGCCGAAGAGACAATGGAACGATGGGATGGTGATTAATAATATAATGTAGGAAATATATTTCCTACTAATCTCCATCTTCTAGAAGACTCCCAAGTCTCCTAATCCCAAGAGAAGATTCTAGTAGGAATTTTATTCTGTTAATTAATTAATTAATATGGAATAAAATTAATTCCTATTTGATGGAATTAAATAATAAAACATCCCACTAGAGTAATATTATTGCTCTCCCCATTTAGCCACTATTTTATCAATAAAATTGAGCCTCCATGATTAAATAATATTAATCCGATTGATTGATTTACCTCCCTATGTTTAAGATATAATGTCCGTTGATTAATTAAATTACTGACAAAATAATTAATCAACTTCTTATTCATTTCCAAAATTAGTACCACTCAGATCCTTAAACATTATGTCAGACAATCGTCTACCTGCAGGGTTTATCATAACGTACATTCCTGAGCTCATTTTGGGGACGTCATGAATCCAGCACACTGGAACATAGTGACCATAAATAATTTATAATAGCACATCATATAATCTTTCTTACTTACCAATATACCTCGTATGTCATCCTAATAAAATAGAAATCACTTGGTAAATCAAATAAATAAGAAATAAAAATATATGCCTATTTTATATTATCTTACGGCTTAAGAGAACGCATCAATCACTGAAGGATGAGGTTACAACAACGGTCAGTGAGTCTCATAACCTTTGCCTTCCGTGGTCCTGTTCAACACTTAACATAAGTGCTAGTGTAATTCTCCAGTCAAAGACCAACCGAATCAAGAATACGCTACAGTCTTTTTCCAAGTGGGGTCTCACTGCCAGTCTAGACTGTGAACAAATGATTTAGTCTTATAAGGAACCGATAGGTGCTCTTTCTGTTCGAAACACTTCGAACCACACTACCTTTATATAAGACATGGAGTATGTATTGCATAAATAAATAAACTGCAAACATATGTACTTTGACCGAAACATGATGGCCAGATCAAAATGAAATTGATAGAATCTGCAAAACATAACTTTTACAGCATACCTCTAACAATCTCCCACTTATGCTTTATAAGCTCATGGCTAAACAAAATAACCACAATTTCTTTCAATCTAATTCTCAAAGACTAGTCTACTGTGTCGCCCTCTTGGCAACAACGACTTCTCCTCGTCCAACGATTTTTCGTATCAGGTGGTACTTGCGCTCTATGTGTTTACTCGCTTTATGAGTCCGTGGCTCCTTCGAATTTTCTACTGCTCCGCTATTATCACAGAACACTGTAATCGCAGCGGGAAAACTCGGTACCACATCAAGGTCGAGGAGAAAATTCCTGAGCCAGACAACTTCTTTCGCTGCCTCTGAGGATGCTACATACTCAGCCTCCATGGTTGAGTCCGCCACGCATTTCTGCTTGACTCTCCTTCATACTATGGCTCCTCCTCCTAAAGTAAACACAAACCCTGAGGTTGACTTGCTTTCGTCCTGATCTGCCTGGAAGTCAGAATCGGTGTAACCCAACGGAAGTAACTCATCTGCCTGGTAAATCAACATGTACTATTTAGTCCTACGTAGGTACTTGAGTATATGCTTTACCGCAGACCAATGTTCCGGTCCTGGATTACTCTGATATCTTGCTACCATGCCCACGACATAACAGATATCAGGTCGCGTGCACAACATAGCATATATGAGGATTCCTACTGCCGATGCATAAAGAACTGCCTTCATGTCCTCTATCTCTTGAGGCGTCTTCGGGGACATCCTCTTAGATAGAGGTATTCCGTGCCGAAAGGGTAAATCCCCTTTTTTGGAATCCTGCATGTTGAAACGCTTTAGGACAGTGTCTATGTATGTGGATTGGGATAGGCACAACTTTCTCTTCTCTCGGTCGCGAATGACCTTGATTCCGAGAACATGTCCTACTTCACCCAAAACCTTCATATCAAACTGCTTGGATAACCATACCTTTACGTCTGATAACATCTTCACACTGTTTCCAATGAGAAAAATATCATCCACGTACAGCACTAGAAACACCACCATGTTTCTATCACTTTTCTTGTACACACAGTGCTCATCTGGACATTGGGTAAATCCGTACGATTGGACAACCTCGTCAAAATGGATGTTCCAAGACCTCGAAGCCTGCTTCAGCCCATAAATAGACCCTTCAGCTTGCAGACCAGATGCTCTTGGCCCTTTGCAATGAATCCTTCTGGTTGCTGCATATAGATGTCCTCGTCCAAATTCCCGTTAAGGAAAACGGTCTTAACATCCATTTGCCAAATATCATAATCCATATGAGCGACCACAACCAAGAGAATCCTGATGGATTTGAGCATTGCTACCGGCGAAAAGGTTTCTTCATAATCGATCCCTTCTTTCTGAGTGTACCCATTCGCAACAAGCCTAGCTTTAAAGGTCTCAACCTTCATATCTGCTCCTCTCTTTCTCTTATAGACCCACTTGCATCCAATGGCGCGAACGCCACTGGGTGGCTCTACAAGATCCCAGACCTGATTAGTGTCCATTGACTCTATATCAGATTTCATCGCCTTTTGCCAAGACTCTGCGTCCCGATCTTGGAGTGCCTCATTGTATGTCCATGGGTCGGATTCAAGAATGTCCGGGACGATCTCAGAAGACTATCCTAGACCCATGAACCATTCGGGCTGCCGGACAACCCTCCTACTACGACGAGGTACTACCTGCTCAGGTGCATTATCAGCGATACGTGTTGCAGTACTTTGTGGTGTAACATCTAGCGCACTCGGTATTGAAGTACTCACTCCCTTTAACTCCTCAAGAATATGTCTAGTACTGGCTTATGATCTAAGACATAGTCTACTTCCAAGAACCTAGCATTCGTGCTAACGATTACTTTCTGGTCCTCGGGACGATGAAATAGACCACCTTTCATTTCCTTAGAATATCCCACAAACAGCCTTACTCTTGTTCTTGGTTCCAACTTATCAGTATCGGTTCTCAGCACATGTGCTGGACTACCCCAAATCCTGAGATGCCTTAGACTAGGCTTATGCCCAGACCACAACTCCAATGGTGTAGACGGTACTGATTTAGAAGGTACTCTATTCAGAATGTATACTGTTGTTTCTAGGGCATATCCCCAAAACAAATCTGGTAAACTACTATAACTCATCATTGCCCTAACCATTTCCATAAGAGTCATGTTCCTCCGTTCTGCTACGCCATTCTGCTGAGGCGTGCCAGGCGCAGTCAGCTGGGATGTAATACCATTATCCGTCAAGTAGTTCCCAAATTCATTCGAGAGATATTCGCCACTATGATCAGATCGTAATGACTTGATACTTTTTCCTAACTGCTTCTCCACAACTGCCTTATACTCCAAGAACTTCTCAAAGCATTCAGACTTGCGGTGCAGAAGGAACATGTACCCATAT